TGGGTGGCCCAGCAACAGTAACCTACTGTGGGGTACAGACACATTTCTGCCAAAAGCCTCTGGGTTTTGAGATTTGTTTCTGAGTCTTCGGGATCTTGGCCTTTAAGCAGCTTGATCAGGAGCCATAGAGGCTGTTCATGGGTGGCAATGTGGGGTCGCATTGGGGTGGGAAGGAAAGGATCGGCTCCACCCCCATCCTGTGAGGCCCCGTGTGTCTCACCACTGAGGGCCCAGACTGTCCAGTGGCCTCTGGAGGATGGCAGCCACCGGACTGCCAGGGGGAACAGGCCAAGGCACGAAACCTATACCCATCTGGGTTGGCCCAGCTCTGGTAACCCAATGCAGGGACTGTATGCACTTCTGCCAAAAGCTGTTGGGTTTCGAGATTTGTTTCTGAGTCTTTAAGATCATGGCCATTAAGCAGCTTGATCAGAAGCCAGAAAGGCTGTTCATGGGCGGTGACTCGGGGTCTTGTTGGGACGGGGAGGAAAGGGCTGGCTCTAGCCCCATCCCATGAGGCCCCGCGTGTCTTGTCACTGCGGGCCCACACCTGACTGACCAATGGCCTCTGGAGGATGGCAGCCACCGAGCCTCCAATGGGGAGCAGTTGGAGGGACAGCACCCTTTCCCCCTGGGGTGGCCCGGTGACAGTAACCAACTGCGGGGTCCAGAAGCATTTCTGCCAAAATCCGCTGGGTTTCAAGATTTGTTTCTGAGTCTCTGGAATCATGGCTGTTAAGCAGCTTGATCATGAGCTAGAGAGGCCGTTCGTGGGTGGCAACTCAGGGGTTTTGTTGGGGTGGGGAGGAAAGGGCCGGCTCCATCCCCATCCAGTGAGGCCCCGCCTGTCTGTCACTGCAGCCCAAACCTGACTGTCCAATGACCTCTGGCAGATGGCGGCCACCGATTCACCAAGGGGGAGCAGGTGGAGGGACAACACCCCTTCCCCTCTGGAGTGGCCTGTCCACAGTAACCTACTGTGCGGTCCAGACACATCTCTGCCAAAAGCCGCTGGGTTTTGAGATTTGTTTCTGAGTCTCTGGGATCATGGCCATTAAGCAGCTTGATCAGGAGCCGGAGAGGCCGTTCGTGGGCGGTCACTCAGGGTCTCGTTGGGGTGGGGAGGAAAATGTTTCTTCTTAATGTTTAAATGAGTTTTACTAAGGTATAATAATTGGCTTATGTTAGTATTCATGTATTATTTTAAAGTTGCAGTGCTGCTATACCTTGTCCTACACCACATTGTCAAGGTAACTCCACCATTATTCCAAGGCCCCTTACTTTGTCCCTGTAGTGTCCTCATATCATACTCCTATTGATCATATCTCAGAGTTTATCTCCACTAGGAAGTATCTAATACCGTGCTTTGCTTTCTATACATTGCATGAGATTAAGATCACATGATATTTGTCTTTTTATTTCTGACTCACTTCACTAGGCATGACCTATTACATTCAAGTTTCAGAAAACTGAAATTTTTCATTTTCTCTGAAAACTAAGTAGTATTTATTTGTGTAAATAATCACAGTTACTTTGTCAACTCATATGTTCTTGGTGTGGAATATTAGGAGTGGAATATAAAGAATATATTTATTCTTTATTTTTTAAGATATCTCCAAATGGGCTGAACCAAATAACAGTCACCCCAACAGTAAATATGAATTCCTATTTTGAAACATTCCAATTGTCACTTATTATTTCTCAACGTTTTGATTCAAATTATTCTTCCTGATAGATGTTGATACTTTATAGTCATTTTTATATGCCATTCTGTCATAACTAGTGAAGAATAATCTTTTTAATAAATATATTGACCTCATTTATGTCATTTTTGATAAATTATCTGTTCATCTCTCCACATTTTCAAAACACTGTGCCAATGTTCTTTTTCTCCTCTCCCTGTTATTTGATATGGCTCATCTGTTGTTGTTGAGTTTATGTATCTTTGATATTAGCCCTTTGTCTTATGTATGATGTGAAGATATTTTCTTCCAATCACCAGGGTTTTTTTTTTTAAATTTTAGGTCTAAGTTCTTTCAGAGTACAGAAACCTTTTTGTTACATGCTTATTGGTGATGTCTTAAAAAATTCAGCCAGCACTTGCTAATACCACTACTCTGAGGAAAGGAATCTGGGCAGGAATTATTAAATTTATCACAATGTTTCATCACTGTATCACTGTTACTGTCATCCCATTGTTCATTGATTTACTCCAGCGGGAGCTAGTAACGTCTCCATTCGTCCCAGCCCTGATGTTTTAGCAGCCTCTCCATACTTATCTTTCCCAACGCTGCCATATTGGAGGCTCTTTCAGGGTCAGGGGAATGAGACCCGTTATTGTTACCATTTCTGGCATATTGACTACCCACAAGTAACTTGCCAGGCTCTGCCAGTGTTTCATATCTTTGTGAAAATATTTGATTCTCATTTGTTACAAGACATGATTCCTTGAGGATTTTTCTGAAATCTCTTTCCTTGATGTGAAAACTTATTATGTGATCCAATAATAAATTAGAGTGATTGCTGACATAGGAAGCAAATGAGGGCAAATCGCACATTAAAAGTGCATCAAGGCAAATGGATTAGTGAGGGCAGGAAAATAAATACAAAGGGATTTGGGAAATGCCCCATAGTTGGAAAGAGATGGAAAGGAAATGATTGTGGGGTCAGTAAGTAAATGACTGGCTTTCCAGTCATGTGGCACTAGGGTTGGCAGCTTGCTGGATATTTCTGGGGTACAGACATTTAGAGCCTAGAAAGTTTGGCTTCAATTGGTCATTAATACTTAAATATTTAATGAGGTCCTACTAAAAGCCAGAGTTAATTGTTATTAAAACCTCAGTTCTTAATGGGCTTTATTCTAAGGATGTTGAGGAGGCAATGCCAGATTTGCCCATTATCTCTAATAGCTGCTCATATTTAATTCCAAACTCTCAGAAGGCCAAATGTGCTTGTTTTCACATTTTTGAATGATCAGTACCATGCCAAGATATTTTTTTATGCCAAAACACATAAACTTTATGCTAGAGTAAGAGATAGAATGAATTGGAGGAAGCTTCTTCCTCTAAAAGTATTTCAGAATAAATAAATTAAAGACTCCCTAGACTTAGAGATGTAGTATAATATGTGACATTGATACTTTCTACCTATGTATATAGGACACAAACTTAAAGCCCTCTGACTCTGTTGCTTTAATGAAAAGATACAGTGAATAATGTTTACAATACCCAAACATGTTGTCAATAAAAGAAATAAAAGGATATGTTAGGTGATTAGCATATATATAATACATATTGTGCATTCATAATTAAAAGTTTAATATTACTGCTTCTTGAAACTCCAAGTAAATAGACTAAAGGTAATTTATGGCCTATGGTAAAATTATATTTTATATGTTCTTTGCAACAGAACAGTAAAAAAGATGTGAGACCTGGATTGTTTCCCAACTGAACCATGAACAATGGTGTGTCAAAATACTAAAGCTATGGGAAATTTTGGGTAATAGAAGATTCAAAAACATGGTCTTTGATTCAGATTAGTATGGATGACAGAGAGGTCTATTAAGTGATTTTGTAATTTTAGTTATTATTTATGAGCATATGTTACCTCATCTGTAAAATGGAGGTAATATTGTTTCCAGTTTCAGTAAAATTAAACATTCTAACTATCCCTAATTTATCAGTCTTCTTTTTAGTCATTTTTCAATGCTTATCTTGGTGCATTTAAATATATGGATTCTATTGTAGATATATTCACATTTTTAATGGGATGTTTATAAAATTATATTTTTTATAAAACCTGTATCTTATTTCCCTTTACTTTATGAGATTACTTAATAGCTGCAAAAAATATACTAGTCGATGTATGTGTTTTCATCTATTTTGTGGAGGAATCAGTTTTCTCACCATGCATATTTTGAAGTAGAAAAATGGCTCAAAGGTCTGAAGCACATTCTTTGCATGTAGGAGTCCTGGGTTTGAATCCCAGCACTATATGGTTCCCAAGCACCACTAGGAGTTCTCCCATATATAAAATTTAGATCCCTTTGTTCCCACTTAAAAAATATTTCAGGGGAATTCCTTATATATTATTTTATACAATCTCTGAAAAAATTTCCTTTTAATAAATTCCAATAAGTATTATTCATAGCTACTATTCAGGCGATATGTTATTTCCCAGAAGTTTTAAAAAAACACAGGTGACATTATATTAAATATCACCTGAGGAGGCAAAACGGCAGCGATGCTGGTTGAATCCCTAGCGCTCTCCCGAACCCGACTCACCATCTCATCCTGGGTGACGGACGTGCAGCTCAGTACACTGGGCGTGGAGTTCCACGTGTGATTCCTGCTGGACATCGCCGGTTGCTTTGTGGGATTGGGACAGAATGACATCCGCGGGGCGAGGAAAGTCCCCCAGCTGCAGCCGCAGCATCACCGACTCCCCCGGCTGGGCCAAGTCACGGCACCATTTAGCTTGGGGCAGCGAAAGTGGCCTGTGCAGTGACTTGTCCACTGTGGGCCGCTGTCCGTCAACCACTGAGTGACTTGGGACTCGGCGCAGGTGTTTGACCTGGGACAGAGCCTGTGCGATGGGATCTTGCTCTGCCAGCTGTTCGACAGCCTCCTGGCACACTCCATCCACCTCAAGGAGATCAACCTGAGGCCGCAGATGCCCCAGGTGCTGCCCAGGGATGCAGGCAGGTGCGTGTTGTCAGTGTACAAATTGTCACAGTAGGCCGGTCACCAGGATTTTGTATTCAGTAGACTGGGAACACCTGCAGTAATAATTAGAGATCTCTCCAAAAGCCTCCATATTCTACCCTAGAGAGCCCAGCAAGCTACCAAGGCTATCCAGCCCTCACGGCAGAGCCTGGCAAGCCACCCCTGGTGTACCAAACATGCCAACAACAGTAGCTAAAATGGGTCTCATTTCCCTAACCCTTAAGGAGTCTCCAGCTGTGTCAGGAAGAACGAAAGGGCGTGTACTAAGCAGACAGCATGCAATCAATGGGCGGGAAGGCACCCCAGAAGCAGCTGGCCACCAAGGTGGCCCTCAAGAGTGCACCAGCCATGGGTGATGTGAAGAAGCTGCACCGCTACAAGACTGACTGGAGATTCGCCAGCTGCCGTTCCAGCAGCTGGTGCACAAGATCGCACTTCAAGACCCACCTGCGCTCCCAGAGCTTGGCAGTCATGGTGCTGCAGGAGGCATGCGAGGCCTACCTGGTGGGGCTCTTCGAGGATACCAACCACTGTGCATTCCTGCCAAGTGCTTCACCATTATATCCAAGGACATCCAGCTGGTGTGCCGCATCTGTGGAGAGAGAGCAAAGTTTACAATGCTAAAATCTCAGGGCTGGGACATATGGAGACGCTACTGGAGCCCGCTCGAGTAATCAATGATTAACGGGGTGACAGTGACATTATATAAATTGCCTATTTCACCATAATGTCACTGGATAATAGTAGTAGTTATTACCACTAATATCTTTCCTGCCAGGTGATTTTGTTACGTTTTTATTTCTTTTATAGCTATGTTCTGTGATGCTCATGGGGATACTCGTGGTCTGTGAGTGGGACTCATTCATAGAAGCAACAGGGATTGAATTTTGGCCTCCTGCATTTTGGGCATGCACTCCTACCCAGTGAAATTCTCTGTTCATTCACAAAAAAATTAACATAGGGCCAAAGACATCTTTATCAAATAAATAATGGCATATCTATAGCTCAACTTCTTACCTGGGTGAGTCTAAGTGAGACTTAGAAAGTGCTGTAGGATTTCATACCTCAAACTAAGTGAATAAATAGAGTTACAGGGAATATACCCTTCATTATAATACAGGGATGCTTTGAAGCTATTTTTATGCGGTCTTAATTGAAAGTCCATTGTCGATCTATTTTTGTCATCTGTAAATATTTATGTCTGTTCCTTGAAAGAATTTTGAGTAGAATTTAAAGCAAAGGGGATGATGCATCTGCATGTCTGTATCACTTCACACAGTATACTCCAGCAAATCTCTAGCTAATTACCACCCTTTGATTGGGAAATATGTGTGAGAGCATAGAATTAGAGAGCTGATAATACATTTTAGGAGAGAGTATTAGTGTCATGATTTAGATCTAGCTACAGAAGGGATGGCTCATGAAGTGATCATTTAGAAAGTGTGTAAGTATCGCTGTCCTTACAAGAATAACCCTCCATCTCTCTGACCTGGATAACAGTAAGCTTTAAAATGGAAGTTCTTAAACTTTAGCAAGTCCACTATAATCCCTTCAGGGACTTGTTGAGCCTCTACTGGGGCCCACCCATGTTTTCTGATTCAGGAAGTATGACTGAGCTAGGAATATGCATTTATGGTAGATTCATGGGTACTTTGTTTCCTAGAACCAAAGTTTTTAAACCTTTGGCCTAGAAGAACCCCTTGCAGCTATAATAAAGCTTCATTATATTAAATCATCATCAGCTGCAGATTTGTTTGTATTCCATAGGAGGCCTCTTGGCATTTGCATATCAGCAGCATTAAGTTTTCTTAATTATTTCTCCGGGACATGCTGTGTGTCTTTAGAAAACATAAATTCTTTGGCTATATCTCTTTTCGATTCATATCTTCATCTGGTGTACACATGTAATTGAACGTGCATTGCATGGGCATGCCCCCTATCACAAGAAAGGACTATTTTCTAGTCAGGGTTTGAATCAGCCTTTGCTTTTCAAGGCAGAGCTATCAAGTTTTAGAGTGATTTAAAATTAAAAGTGAAAGTTGAGCCTTATGTTGTTTATGTCTGTGTTAACTCTTAAGTTTGAGAAGTAGGGAAAGATGAAAGGATATTTCAAAATTTCAGTGGGGACCCCAAACCCTAGACATCAAGCTGTGGTCAGTGAACAGACAACTGTGTTTGGTTGAGCCCTATTCCAGGAAAATGGCTTCAATCCAAACACATAAGTGGGCCAGAAAGCAGGATTATTTAATCACCTGGAAACCCAACCAGTCACTGCAGCTGCTGGAGGAACCTGTCACAGTTGGTTTGCCAAGCACCTAGAGCCAGATGCTTGCCCTGGAAGAATGTATTTCCAAATAGACACCTGGGCCTTGGACAGCCAATGAGATTCTTCCAAGCAGAACAGAAGGGTCTAAGTCAATCCGTGTAATTAAAACAGTTCCTTCTTCATACAAAGAATCTTGCACAACAGGAAGTAGACTGACAGGGAACGGAAAGAGGTGCAGATGTCCAGTTAGATAACTGTCTCTAGAGACATCTTATGAGGGCACAGCATTTTGATGTCATTCACTGGGAACCCATATGCATCTGAAACATTTCCTTCCCGAGTTTACTTTAAAACTTTGTAAAAGTCATATTGAAGAAAGGGAAATAAATGTCTTCATTCTCTACAGATTTATTTTAGTAGCAATGGAGGGTTACCTTGTGATGAAGTCATTCTGTATGAAACAGAGTTCTGAAAAGTGTTAGGAACTAAGGTATATGTAACTATAAGTCCTTCTTTTCTTAAATCACCTTTAAATAATCATTTGTGAAGAAAGATGGGCAAAAGGAAGGGAAAGAGGACAACAGTTGAGAGAATGGGGAGAAACAATGCTAGTTGAGGAAAAGAGAGAGAGAAAGAGAATAGAGAAAATAGAGAAAATAGAGAAAGAGAATAGAGAGAAAGAGAAAGAGAGAAAGAGACACACAGAGAGGGACTTTGTATTGATTATATATTCTAAGTTGTATCACACATTTCCTGTGCTTGTCTGTGTGCCTAAGACTATATGTCCATGGTCTTAACAATAGTGACTATTATTTTTGATGGTGAGATTTTGTGCTAAAGGTGTAAGTTAGCATCAGAGGGATAACTAAAATCCATCCTCAGCACTCTGTTTCTTCTGAGAACCCCCACACTGAGTGTTCTGAAGAACCAAGAGGTGATTAAAAATTGTGGAGAGATGCTTAATCTGTTTTTAGGAATGACCCAGGATGATTTTTTTCTAAGTGAAGTAAAAAGGCTTCCCTGAATTTTCAAGAGACAGTGTGGTGATTTATGCTACATTATTACTCCATTATGCTGGATAAGGTAAAGGTGGTCATCCCCCCAAGATATTAAGCTGTTCATTACTTCTAAGCATCCCATAGTGTATAGGGTTTCCATGGAAAATATAAAATAGCTGTTTTCTCTTCTATACCCACCCTGGGGTTCAATTTCCATTGAATAATACACAGAGCTCAGAGAAATTTAGGTCAGTGCTACAGGAATTAAAGAATGTCTGAACAAAGGTTTGAATAATTTGCAGTGTAGGGTATGTTACATTTTTTTTGATCTCCATTGTTTCCCATTTTTTTCCATCAGAGAGACAGGGGATAGACTCTGGTTTAAAATTCACCTCCAGGGGCTAGATAGTACAGGGCATAAGGCTTATGTTTTGTATGCAGTCAACCTTTTTTTTTTTCCCTGGGAGCACATTGTACTGTGCATAACATATGTGCATCCCTGAAGCCCCTAGCACCTTGGGGTAGCCTGGAAAATTCTAGCACCACAGAGTCTGAGCAGGACCATGTCCACAGGCCCTTCCAATGAGCTAAGAGCCCTGTTGGCAGAGAATCATCAAAAGAGCCCCCAGGCCTCCTACACTAATTTCAGGATGCCAGTCCTGCACATTCCCGCTGTCCATTGCTGAAAAGAAGCAACAACCTGAACTGTTCCAGGTTCCTCACTGTAACTCACGTGATTCTGTCTCTGAGAATCAGGGGTGAATGTGACTGACCCATGGACCTGATTGGCGGGTGGTAAATGGGATTACTGGTTTGTCCAGTACCACAAAATTGGATATAAGCAAAAGAAACAGTGTCATTTTTTTTTAACTGACATGCTAGGAAGTCAAAAATATGCCTGATGTTCTTCATCCATCCTACTTGCTGGAAATTTGGAAAACTATGTTTATCAGATGAAATTATAAAGGGAAAGAAAATGTGCCTATGTAAGACCCACAGGAACATCTGTATAGGGGTTTGAAATTGGGCCAGGGTATATGCCAGTCAGATAGATTTTCTTACTAAGGAAAAAAAGGGAAAGTCCTCAAAATATTGATGGGACTGATGGATAATGAAGAAGTGTGTGTGTGTGTGTGTGTGTGTGTGTGTGTGTGTGTGTGTGTTGGCCAAGACCAGATACAGTACTGCTTGGGACCTGAAGTACCTAGTATTACCCGTAACTCCCTGGTGGTATTTGGGGTCCTCCAGGGCTGCACCCGTGAGTTCAGTGAATCATGGGGTACTGGGATTAAACCAGGGTAGACGACATTCATGTGCCTTGTTTCCATTGTTTTCTCTCTCTCAACCCAGTATTATGATATTTATTGCTGTGGGTGGGAAAAATACATTAATCTTATCACTTGCTTCCCTTCCACTGATGCAATTTTATTTCCTATTTATGTCAATTGCTGTCTGTATTCCTACATACAAACCCTTAACTGTAGCCAGACATACCTACTTATCTGCCTTCACATGTGTATTTCAGTTGGTCAAGCCTGAGTTGGCCTCCTGGCCTATGAGTGGAAGATGGTGCTAGAATCAGGCCAGACATTCAAGGTCTCTGCCATGGTTTATTGTTCTCATTGTGTGTGTGTGTGTGTGTGTGTGTGTGTGTGTGTGTGTGTGTTTGAGTTTACCTCTGACTCCTATATGTTCCTTATTTCTGAATTTCTCACATATTATCCACCCTCCTTAGTCTCCTTGTATAGAAAGCACATATATGACCTTCATATACATACTCTGATAGGGACATCTTTGAAGACTGTAACGAAGCTTCCTGAGTTGAAATTGTAGCTCTGCACTCACAAGCTGTTCAATTTTTCACAGGCTACTCAAGTGAAATGCACCTCAATTTCTCACTATGGTGTACTACTAATTACTGTCTATAAGCCACATTCATGTCTAAGTCATTTGTGGTTCACATGAGTGAGCGAAGGCATTTAAAGTTCTGTGACAAGGATTGGGCACATACCAAATGCTATATAAATGATTGTGATTAGTACAGTTGCTATTAATATTTGACCTTATATATCTTATTTACTTACTGAAGCTGCTGCTGCTCTGTTTGCTTTAAGTGTGTGTTTTAATCACTCAAATCTTTAGCTGTCTCCATGTCTGCTCTAGAGGCTAATCCGTGATTCTCCAGGTGGTCATTTCTCATATTGATTCAATGTTCTAATTATTCAAGAAAACTTACTTTACTGCATATTCTGGAGAAAACATACTAAGCTTGATATTTTGACATGGTTGTGTTCTCCAGAACACATCAGAGTTCATACAGACATTTTTGAGAAAGGCATTTGTGGCACACCTGATGATGC